ATTAATCATGTCATCATTTAAAGTGTTCAGATTCTCCCGATTCAAATAATGTTAATCTGTTTATCCTTTGACTAATCAGTCAGTCTCATTTCGTGGCTGATACTGAATGAAACAGCCAAAGGCAACAATCAAACCGCCGGAGACAAACTGCTCTGTCCAGAGTTTGTAGTTCACTATTTACAGTTTGTTGCTCCAGTTATTGGAGTTTGTATTCCTGCCACCATTAAGTGTGATATAGATCAGCCCACAGTCTGGGACAGAAATGCTATAAGCAGAGTAATAGTGTAGCAGAGCTACAACTACCTGATATTTTAATTCTTTCCAGTATTATCTTGAGAATTGGAATATTTTATAAGTTAAAAAAAAAAGACATGCTGCAGTTTTTCACACAGATGTCTAAAAAAAAACAAAAAAACATTGGGCCTCGTTTACCAACCAAATTTCTTCTGAACACCCAGAATCTACACACTCAAGAGCACAAAGGTGTGAACAGTTCAGCAGTTTAAGAACAAGAATCTGACGTAGACTTTTTCTTAGGATCTTTCTCAGGAACACATTTAAGAAAAAACGTAGGAAGATGCTTGGAAATAAAAGCTGCGGAGAGCATGATGACTGGATAACAATCCAGGACAGAAACTTATCAAGTCAGAATTCCTCAGTGGTGGTGATGGGAACCAGACGTCTGGAGAGTTTACTGCCTCCAAAAGCTCACAGAAAGATATTATATCAGATGCACTGCCTTTAAGTCTAAGACGCTGTTGGAGTTAAAGTTTGGGCTTGAAATGTATTTAAAATAAAATCCTAAAAGCTCCTTTAGGTTTAGTGGTCATTTTGGATGGTTGATAAAGTAGTTTTATTTTATATTTAGACATGGCGACGTCCGGTTCCTATCACCACCACTGTAAAGGAATCAGAGTGGGTCAGTTCTGTACAGTGAACCATTTCACTTCAAACCACTCTGAATGACTTTGTTTACATCTCAGAGATGCAAAACTGTGAAACCTGATATTGAAGCCTCAGATTAGATTAAACAGTCAGTAATAAAGGCTCTACTTATATTTATCAGCAGAGAATTGTGGGTTTTTTCTACAGATTGTTGCGCAGGCAACTGTCTTCATTTAGCTTGTAGCTTGATAAGTTTGTCTCCATTTAAACTCATAAAAAGGCGCATGGAGCTGCGTAGTTTCATAAAAGTGCTTCAGCTGTCAGTTGATATCAGTTAGTTACAGTCCACATAGACTTGATGAGGCACAGTTCTTACTTATAAAGTCGTTCTGCACTCACTGTACTTGAAAATGTGAAGTTTGGTGAAAAACATAGTTTTCAGTTTTTTTTTGCTTTGTTTTTTTGGCCAAAATCTTCCTTTGTCATAATTTTACAATTTCTTAATAGAACAAAAGTGTGCAGTAAAAATAAGAGCATACAGTCATATGGAAAAGTTTGAACACCCCCAGTAAAATGACATCTTGTTGATTTTTCTAAATAAAAACGTGAAAAAATAAAGTGAATCCGTCCTCTACAGTGAAAGCATTTAATATGTAACATTTTCTGCTGATTTTAAAGCACAGTTTCTATTTATTTGCTGAGTTTATCAGATTAGAAAAAATGATATACATTACAACCCCAATTCCTAAAAAAATTGGGACGCTGTGTAAAATGTAAATAAATATGAATAAAAACAGAATGCAATGATTTGCAAATCCAATAGGCCCATATTTTATTCACAGTAGAACACAGAACACATATCAGACGTTGAAAGTGAGACATTTTGCCATTTCCTGAAAAACATTAACTCATTCAGAACTTGATGGCAACAGTCCTGGGTCTTCTTTGCTGGATATTTCATTTCATGATGCACCAAATGTTTTCTATTGGTGAAAGATCTGGAAGATCACGAGCATCCAATACTGACCGTCGGCCTTGTCCCTTGTGTACAGGGATTTCTCCAGATTCTCTGAATCTTTTGATGAGATTATGCACTGTAAATGGTGGGATATTCCAAGTCTTCGCAATTTTATGTTGAGGAACATTTTTCTGAAATTGTTCCACAATTTTTAGACGCTGAGACTCTGCCTCTCTAAAATGCTTGTTTTATACCCGTTTTATACTCGTGTGCGTTAGTTGCAAATCACTCCTCCAGCTGTTTTTTTTTTATTAGTACCACTTACTTTTCCAGTCTTTTGTTGTCCCGTCCCAACTTCTTTAAGATGCGTTGCTGCCATCAAGTTCTAAAAGAGCTAATATTCTATTGTGAATAAAATATGGGTCTATGAGATTTGCAAATAATTGCATTATTTTTTATTTACATTCATTTACATTTTACACAGCGTCCCAACTTTTTTGGAATTGGGGTTGTATCTAAAATGTCCCATAACTTTTGCACATCCCACATTTTTTGTTTAGTTTTCCCCCAATGTGTTAAATTCAGCAAATCAACGCTAACTGTGTATTAAAACATACAGAGGCGTGTTCTCTGTAGAGGATGTGTTCACTTACCCTCACTTAGAAAATCAACACATCACGTCATTTCACCAAAACATTTGCATACGACTGTATTAATGCTGGTGCAGTCAGAGTATTTAAGTGGTGAACTTGTTCTTTAGGCATTTCCGTTTAGTGTTTGAGCTCCGTTGACATTTCCTGCTGTCTGATTGGTCCCTAGAGCTTAAAGGGACGTCCCCCTCCCGCCCCCCTGTTTGGTGACGATAGTGACGAGGACGATCTGGACTGGTTGGGCTGACCTGACCTCTAAATCTACAGAGTCAGAAACGCCACTGCTTGTTTCCAGGGCAAGTTGCCGTGGAGATTTGATGCAACGAAGACAGAACACAAGAATGTGGAACAAGGATACGGAGCTGAGGCTCCTCCTTTGGCGAAACCTTTCAGTATTGATCGTGAGTTCAGAAACATCATGTTTCTGTTGACGGAGGACACCAGCATGTCCTGTGATACAGCCTGACCTTTTTGACATGGGAGGTGAATCAGCGGCCTGAACTGACCACAGCTGCTTCGCAAGTTTGATAACCAATCACACATACTGCACTCAAATTTAGCTCTCAGATTCAACTCGGTTTCTGAAATGTGATCCTGAGGAGTGGACTTTTAAAAATGTTTTAATCTGCAATAATTTATGATTGAATGTCCTCTTCTGTGAAACAGGGTTTTCATGTGTAACGGTAATAACGGTGATGTCGGTTTCCTACTGTAGGGACGAGTCTTAGTATTTGTAATCTTTGCTAACAAGGTATTGTGGATTAATAAAAATGGACTGGATCATTTTTTCAACTGATTACTTTTGTATTATTTAAATGAACTACAAGAAACTACAGGCATGGAGTGTAAACAACACATAGGGTTTGAGTTACTGGTGTTACTTTGTTAAATTAGTGACTTGAGTAGAAGTAAAAGTATCCCATACAAGTAGCTATTAACATGTAGAATGTATGTTGGTCTCCAACGTCTCTGCAAACTTTAGAAAACGAAACATTGTGATATGAATCGTCCGTCATCTTTAAATATTGTGATATTTTTGATGCATCGCCCATCCTTCGTTGCAGAAATATATTCTGTATGCAGTGGTGACACGTTATAAAGATTTTATAAGAAATCTAAAAAAAACACTGCATCTTCTCTTTGAAGGAAAAGTGAAACAAAATGTGGTATTTTTTCGTATTGACAACAGTTAAAGTGAGTCTGTTTGAGTTGGTTTCTCCCATTATTTCAAAAAATACGCACGGAAGGGGCCCCGAGCGAGTCCTCAGTGAAAGGGGGTGAATGGGGCTAAAATTGTTAAAACAAAAAAAAAATTAAAAATACGAAGGAAAACCAAAGAAAACCAACCAGTACGTTTTTGCTCTTCTACAGCAAAAAGGTTTTAGGTAGTAGGACACTAGCATTGCAGCTACTGAGTGCTGATTGGCTGGCGAGCTGATCGGCTCATTGGCTGAGTGAAGCAGTTCATGCTCTCTGATGTCATTAATGTACATGTGGCGCAGCTAGAAAGTCCTACAACTGGAGTTCAAAGTGCTCACAAATACAACAGCAGTGTTGAAATGTTTTACACTACTCTATATAAAAAAATAAGCATTTACAAACTTGAATATTCACAAAAGCGCCATAGGAACCCGTTCATTTTGGATTCACTCGGGAGCGCCCTCTAGCGTCAGACAAACCCAGCACACATAGCTGAATGGCAATTCTCACTATACATTCTCTGTTATTGCTGCCTAGGGCTGAACGATTTGTACAAAATATCTGCGATTTTTCTGATCAAGTTCTGACGATTTAAATGTAATAATATATTTAAATTAAGCTCCACATCCTTTTTTGGCCAAGAAGTTTAGCACATGCAGTTTTTCAGGCTTAAATCTAAATGCTGAACGTAGTGACCCAGACGGCCAGACTGCTTCTCCACTTGAAGCTTCTTAAGACAACAGTGAATAATGTAAGATATCAAAATCACAATTTGAAAATTGCTGTTTCGATTAAAAAAATCGCTCAGCCCTATTATTAGCCAGCCATTAACAAGTCTTCCTTGGGATGCATGACTGGAATCAGAATGTGTTGCAATTTTATGATGTAAATAATATGAGGCAGGTAAGTGGACTTGCACTGTATTTAAATGTTGCCGGTACAATAATAAAATATACATGACTCAGTGTGCTAAACATTGCCAATATAGCACTGACAATAAAGCACGCTGTTTTATGTCTTTAGTCCACACAGTGTGAGCCTCAGGTTAAAAAAGGTTGATAAAAATTGGCCACTGGCAAATTTGGTTGTAAAGCAACTGAAATCAGCCTTAAAATCCCTAGTTTTCCCTCGGATAATGAAGTAATTGGATAAAGAATTGCTGGATCAGTACTAATATACAAGTTCAGAGTTCAGCCAAATGCCAGCCTGCTCTGTAACAACATGCAAGATGACATCCTGTCTGTTAAAGACTTGTATGGACAGACATACAAGAGTTCATTAGTCATACAACTTGTTGGGTCTGGAAATAATTTTAGAAACACCAGGTTTCTCTAATTTTATTTACATAGATGAGTTATGTTAGTGTGAAACACAGTTGCCATCATAAAATTCGGACAAGGACGCAATGACACTGAGAATGACTCACAATTAATACAGAACAAATTAAACAATCAAGTCAGTCTGCAGAGTGAAAGGAGGCAAAGTTACAGTTCCTTAGATGAGCGTACGTCCCTGAGCTCCCAGCAGATGTCTCTGAAGACTTCTTTCTTAGAGTGTTTTCTTTTCAAAAGTGCTTATCGCAGACAGACAGTCGCAATCCCACCACCTGTAAATGCTGATTGGTCAAAAACCATCCCACGGTTAGCCAGTGCCGGTCCACACAGCGTGTTAAGAATAATAATGGTATATAGCTGCTATCCGGGATTTAAAATGCTTCATTGTACCGATTTTCTGGTTTTGGAGCAGATCAGCGCAGGTCTAGCATTGTGACGGTGCCTTCCGTGATCACAATGTGGCTGCCACCCTGAGGACGAGACAAGACGACAGAAAAATGCCAAATTTACCAAATTTAGTTTGAGAATTTGCACAAAGACACAAAGTGTCAACAGCCAGGTTTCAATCCATGTATTTTTATGTGCATCTTAACATAAATAGACTTGCAAAATTTGCATAAAAATCTGTACACTCGCTTGAGGCAGATGAAAAGCAATGCAATAAATTACAATAGAAACACATTACCTGAATAAAAAATAAAAATGTAAATAGAAATATATCCATATTATCAAAAAAAATCAGTCATCATTAGGGATTTGAATTCCTCTTAATTTGGATATTCAAGTATTCATAAGAGTTAATGAATACATATGTTTGTGGATGAGGTGTCAATGTTCCTTCATCAGAGAAATATGTTTCCACTGTTTGGGGACCTGGTTAACATCAGCTAGGGTAAATTAGCCTAGCTAGCGGAAATGTCACACCAAAAGCAACAGCAAAAAGGATCTCAGACTTCAGCATCGTAGGCATTGTTTTATTATTTAATAATAGCTGCAGAAAATCAGTAGGTTTTTGTTTTGTGTGAGTAACGGCGGCTGCCTCTTCAGATAAGCTGATGAGCTGATACTAACTGGCACAACGTTGGATGCTGTGAGGACCCGTTATCTTCTACAAGTTGTTTTCTCCTCAGTGGACCATGTGTCAACATGTTTCTTTGTCAAAGAAAGACATTTTCACCAGCTGGGTTTCTCTGCTCACTCTACTCAACAATCTGATGGAAAATCTCTGTTTACATGCTCACTACAAGTAATCAGATCCAAAATTACAAGCATGCGTAGAACCACTTAGTGTAGACGTTACCATGACAATGAGCATCACGAGTCCAGTCAGAGTGAGACGAGCAGCCGTGAGGAGTGTTTGTGTTTTTAATAAGTTTAAAACTGCGTCAGACTCAGGAAAACGTCCTTCACATGTCCTTATTAAAGAAGGCAGAGAGGAAGACGTCGTGTTCTGAGACACATAAGCTGGACGTCCGTCCCACCGCCGTCTTTTAAAGATCAAAGCATAAACTTCGTCTCCTCTGCAGACCAGTTTCTGCTCCGCCATGTTGACCGTTATAAACTTCCACTATGACGGGACACACATGCGCAGAATGTACTTAAACTTTCCGATTGGGAAGGTAATCAGATACAGGCGTTTACACGGATATTATTCTTCTATTTAACCGATTATTTACAGGACGACTCATTCAATCGGATAGAAATTGTATTCCGAATGGCCTCAATCAGACTAGTTTATTGTAACTGAGGTGTAAACATGGACGTATTCTATTCCGATTGAGCTATTCGTCGGATTATTAACGGATTATCAGGCTGCATGTAAACAAGACTTTTTGTGGACCTAGTTAACATCAGCTGGAGTAGTTAGCCCAACTAGCGAAAAAGTCGCATCAGAGCCAACCGCACCAGCACTGCCTTCTGTTGTGTTCTTAACAACACGTCCTTGGCAATGTGCTCAAATTCAGGCACTTGGGTTTTATAGTAGCAAAGTTTAATATACTCACAAACCTGTCATATTTCACAGTCCTGTTAAAACATAAAAACCGGCATTGCCCTGAATTGTTAATCTGTATATATTTTCTGTCTTCCTGTAATAAAACGGATACCCAAATAGTGATTCCAGAATTCGTATACTGGCACCTTGAATGGTTAACCGAGTACTCGAGTGCCTGTGCACAGCAGCGTCTTTCGCCTGCCAAACGTGAGCGAGTGAGTGAGTAAATTTCAAGCCAGGTCCATGAGGGGCTCTGCATCTACAAAACTATTAGAACTAAATACGTCTAGATGTAAATGATCATACATTTGTAAGTATAAATGCCATCCCAAAAACCTCTTTGCTGCATCTTGCTGTATCCATGTGACCGACACTTACGATAAACAGGGGAGGCTCTTTGGAATGAGGGTGAAAGCCTTTCTGTGTGCAGGTGGAAATCTCCTCCATTCCATAATCAGTCAACCTGAAGTAGCCCGTCCTGTAGAGCAACCACAACCAAAGATCACAAATTGGTGGAAAAATAAGCCTGATGCAAACCATACAAGTGAAATTTCAGTGCAGCAGGACAACGAATCATACACAACATATCACTGACAGAATGCCCAAGTTCAGGGACACCTGACCTTAAAATGTATTCAAAAAAAGAAAAAGCAACATCATCTTCAGTTTGCAGTAATTTCACATATTAAAGACTAAGCAGGTTTATTCAGAGGAAAGCTATCACATTATTATCTAAGTCACATATTTGATCGACTTGTTGTGATGTCAGCATTCAAACCTCCCAGATGTTTAAACCACCTTTGGGCCAAAAGGGTTTCAATGGATGCTTTTAACAATGGTCAAAATCATCATGTAGACAAAACTTACTCCCATAATTCTGAAGCTAAATATACCAAACAGATTAGCACATATCTATTATATGCTAACCTATACTGGTATATTTTCCTACTTAACTAAAAGAAAATTCCAGTTTTATAAAGTGGCAAAGTGTCTCCAGTCTGTCGACAGTGCAGTTTTTCAAAGGAACAGTCTGTGAAGGCATGACAGTAAGCTGACAGCAAGAGAATAACGTACGTGAGAGGAATACGGCATTAAAAATGTGAAAATCAGAGCACTGACTCGTTGAATTTAGGCGAGCAGACAATGGCAATGGCTTCTGGCAACATCAGCTGGTAGGAGCAGTGAGTGTGAAGATCAACACTGGAGAGGAAAGCCGTTTGAGTCGGGTGTGTCTAAAGAGGGGAGAGAGTGACAAACAAGCAGAATGAGAAAGAGAGAGAGAGAGAGAGAGAGAAAGAGATGCCTAGAGTCAAAAGCAGGTTTACTACAACATAACACAAGTTATTGAAAATACACTGAGATCAAAGTTTTCAAATGTAGAAGTCAAATACAGAAGTCAGGCTTTAAGGCAGCTGCAGCTGTTTTTAGCTGTGTAATGTACTTCCTTTCACTTTTATAGGTGACACTGTCATATAGAGTCAATTCCCCAGACAAGGATTAAGCCTAGTCCTGGACTCATTTTGAATGGAGATTCTATATTGAAAGGAAAATGTAGTACAGAACTAGGATTAATCCCTGTTGAGGAAGCCGAACCACAGTATCAGAAACCACATAAGCAAGTCTACCTGAGATCACTTAACAACTCAACATGGTTTAAGTCAAGAGTGTGATAAGTGTAATTTCCACTAATGATGCACCAAAACGAAAGAACGTTTTTAAGACACATGCAGCCAAAAAACAAAACTGAAACCTGAAAGAACATTTTTTCCCTAATTTGCTCTTTAGATTCTATTACTGATCAAATCGGCCTTCAACAGGACAAAACTGAGCCAACAATAAACACAAAGTTTACAAAAATAAAATGTATAAAATTATGACACTATATAAGCTATAAATGCCCTGCGATGGACTGGCGACCTGTCCAGGGTGTATCCTGCCTTCCGCCCAATGACAGCTGGGATAGGCTCCAGCACCCCACCACGACCCAGAAGGATAAGCGGTTTAGATGATGTATGTATGTATATAAGCTACAGAATGTGCAACGAAATCCAGCGTCCTCGACAACAGAGAACAGCTGCTCATCCGAAGAGGAGATTCTACTATTGTTTAGTTATCTCTGCACTTTTCCTCAGTCGTTTGCGAATGTCTTCATCATTTCAGGCTTCAGACAGTTGTTTTGTTGTATTCTGCGTATTAAGCAGGATTTCATGTTTTCAAGTGGTATCAAACCTGTAGTGGAGTTCTTACGTGTTGAGCCATCTCCTGATACTTCACCACGGCATGAACAGTGATTATGATCCTCTTGTCTAGAGGTAGAAATTGAAATAGATCCACACAGCCGTCATATTTTTACCCCACTGTATATCTGCTGCTGCTCAAACTGTTTGAATTAGTCTGTGCAAACCAGCACAGGAGAACAAAATGAGTTTTTAATCAGTATTTCTCTTTTCGTTCTCTTTCAAATGCTTTGTTAAGTGTTAGATCAGACACTCTGTTGTAGTATAATTTAATCTTTTGTGACAAACTGTGGCCGGCTGAAAACCAAAAGTGCTACTTTTGACCTCTTTCGGCTGAAATGTTTCGGTAGCCGTAATTTTTGGTGCACCCTTAGTTTGCCTACTGATAACTGGTGGAGTACAAGCTTCCATTACTTGTTTGCTACATTATACTTGTAGCCCCAGTGCAAAACGTAAGAAACAAACACTGGACACCTACATCTAAAGGAGAATCACTTCAATGCTTTAAGGTTTATATTGAAGTGGTTGTGACTTACGTGAATCCAGCCCAGTGTAATGAGATTGTGCTGATCCTGCACCAGAAAGAGCTCCTCCTCGTTCTCTGTGTCACAGTAATCATGACCTCCACACTGCTTAGGCACTATCACGTGAGTCACTGTGAACGCGTTCCTCGTCTGAAGCAGAAAGACCAATCGGCAAACAGTGAGCAAGGATATGGTACATAGTCTCAGGCTTCAGCTTCTCAATCATAAATATACTGTTTATTCTTTCATTGGTGCATTATTGGACGTACCAATTGGCCACAGAGTATACCGCACGTCTCCACAGCTCGGACTGTGTTGTTATTGGCCAAGTGTAGGAACTTGTTGCACAGCTCAGAGGGGACGGCTACCTGCCTCAAACCGTCCACCAGCGTACCTGCATTAAAGAGGAAACATACGTCTGCTTCTTCTCTGCTTTGTGACTGCAGATGTCTAATTGCCCAAACACTGCAATTTTCTTGTATTGTACATTTTTCCTCTCAGATCCACTTCTAACTTTTGTTACATGCACCAAAAAACAGTTATAATTCATTTTTGCATGACCAAATCTTCTTATCCCTTAGGATTAAACAGTTTTTGTTACTGTCCCTTTAAGACAGACATATCGTCATTACCAGAACAAAACCTTGTATCTCTGTTTTTGTCATTTATTTATTTTTTCTACAGAATTTGAAAATGCCAGCTGCCCTTTATACTGTATTAACATTAACATGAACATTTCATGACAAACAGTGATAGAATTGCTTCAAAATGACAGGAAAAAATCTTGTTCCATTAAATTTCCACTCACAGTTAAGAATGTTGCTTCATTACCATTTTGAAAATACGAGGTTGTGTGACCACAGCAATGATATCTACATGACATCTGCTTTGACTGGCTGCTCTGTATTGTGCCTCATTCAAAAAGAAGTTCAGGCTGAAACTTTCCTTATAGCTTCAGCGTTAATAGGAGGAGCTAAAGCGCTGCAGGCTGAATTGGCGGATATATGTAAACAACACCACAAATACGATGAATGCAAAACAGGCTGTTTCCTTTCACAAAAGCAATGAAAACTCTTTGCCATGATATGGCCACTTTAATATGTGATCTCAATATGATCGTTATGGGTTAATGACCATTGAACAGGGGTGGCGCCACACCTCCAAAAGTGGTGGCGCAAAACATATTGTTTCCAAAAAAGAAATAAAAAGGTTTGGATGATGGACTGCAAGGGCTAAAGTGGACTAAATTACACACATGGGTGTTTATTTATTGATCAGACGTTTTGCGGGGATGTAAGGGCTCTGTTAAATGGAGACGCTCATCTTTGTGAATACCAGATTAAGTTTAACCGATCAGGTCGCTGATGCTTGGCCAAAAATTTGTTCCACAATCCAAAATCAAACGCATATCATTATTTTATTGCTTGTCTTTCGTTATTAACAGCAGCTCACAGTGCAGGAACGAGCGCTTGCATCCCTGCAACACGTCTGATCAATAAACAAACACGTATGGGGAAAAAAAAGGTGCTCTAGTGTGGAATTCCCTTGTAAATTAGCGCGTCTCAGTTGTTTGATTCTCCCTGAATTCGGGTGGAGTCGCATGTCAAAACTGAACTAAAGTTGGACAGTCCGCACCGTCCACAGCAGGTCTGAAAACGCCTCCCAGCTGAAATGGAGGTTCTGATTTGGCGCTGCTGTTCGGTTTTACTCTGTTCGTGCTGGTCAGTGCTTCATGCAGTTTAGGGAAAGTGGAGGTTTTTATGCCGCATCCTGAACTGAAAAAGAAGTGGGGCGTCGCCACAGTACTTTGAAAAGTGCTGGCACTCGCCACCGTGGTTCCGGCGGCCCTGAGCCTTCAGCCTTTGTGTTTTTCCTGATAATCTGGGACTTGACAACGAGCTGATAAGTTAAATACTAAGAAAGTCTAAACAGACCCGTGATTAAGAGTGGAAAGATTAGATGACCTAAAAACCCCTCTAGCTCTGGGGGCTAGACAAAAAAAATTAAAACAACGATTAGAGTCACTGTCATAACAAAACCTCCCATCTCTGAAACTTTGTCATTATTTCTTTTGGTTTGTTAATCATAAAATGTTCAGACAACGTAAAATGCAGTTGGTGTTTCTAAATGTTTACAAGAAATAAAAAGAAAGAAAGAAAGTTTTAAGGGCTTGACAGTCGTGACCGTGACTGTACTGTGACAGCGACTGTACTGTGACAGCGACTGTACTGTATCTGCTAAAATAAAAGGTTCATTTTGGCGTAATATAAAAAACAGCTTGCAACAGCTAAAGTGTTTCGTTTTTTTACGGTCCAGAATTTCAGGACTGAGAACTGTTTTAATTACTGATAATCATCAATGTCAAATGACGAGTAAAAAGATGTGATGAGATTTGGCCAAACTGCCTAGTCCTAGTTATATAATGTACTACAGAAGCCTTACTGTTAGCTGTCCTGCCCACGGTGCCTGGCTTGAGTGAGCGGTCAAAGGTAGGAACAGGAGGTGGAATGGGCGTGGCTGGTGCTGACGGTGTGCTTTGATTGGTGGAGGGATACTGTGGGCTCTGAGGCGGTGTGGGGGATGCTGGGTAAGGCAGCGGCGGGCCCTGGATGCCAGGGATAAGCGGGGCGTTGTCGGGAGGCGATGTGGGCGTGCCGAACTCGCGGAGAACACGCTGACGTTCACGCTCATGGTCCTGCCGCCGGATCATCTCCTCAAAAACACTGAACTGCTCCTGCTCCAGCTGCCTCCTCTGCAGCTCCGCCACACGCCTCCGCTCTGCTTCCAGCTCCTTCTGCTTGATCTGCTCGCGCTCCAGAGCCGCATCCTTTTCTCGCTAACACAAATAAATACATCACGTCAAAATTCTACAGAAACCTACAGGCTTGTTATTAAATATGCTAATGTGTGTGTTAGCTTATTACATGCATTATTACAGTATTACAACACATTTTTGAGACTAATTTAAGTTTTATAACGGTTTGTTTTCTCTCCACTTCTGTGTTGCCTTCAGATGTTAGTGAATTAATCAGAAATAGTCTTTCAAGGTTTCAAGCCTATTCAAAATGTGTCTCAAACTATCTATGATAAGCTATAACAACTTTCATGAGGCCACATGATAAATACGAGGGCTCCACCAACATAAAATTTGTGTGGCCGATACTGATACCGATTTAAAGGGGCTAAATATTCCAATAACTAATAATATCGGCTGACAGACTTTCATATTTTAATGTACATTTCAATAGTTTTACTTCAACAGTGCTTTACTGGCTGACAAGACTGTCAGTCCTCAGTTGTCTTATTACTCTAAAGCTCAAATAAAAAGGATTATAGTCTTTAATAATATAAATATATTAGGATTATACTAGGAGTGGAGTCAAAATGCATTGCAATTTTGGTTCCTGATAATTACTTTTTTATTAGTTCTCTTCATAAAAACTTTAGAACTGTAGAACAAGTGTTGTTATAATGTTATTCACGTGCCGAAGTTTCAGGTAAGTTATTATAAACATGTTGATGGATGATTGTGATATAGTTCAACAGGAAGTGGTGGGAGACCGCGAGTTCAAATCCTGTCGCTGCTACAACCAAGACAGGCAATAATTATTGGCACATTATTGATGATATTTTTTTGCTGATTCTGATATACCGCAGGTTGTCGATATTATTGGGCTCCAATAAATACTCTGATAGCTTATTTAAGGTAAAAATCAATTATTGACATTTTTTATATCCTTACTCATAACGTGAAGTTTCTACTGTCTTCTTATTTTAAATTTTATCATTTAATGTTTACTGCTTACTATTGTGAAACTACACACACACACACACAGCTGCACCCAATGCAAATACGGCCAACACTGTAGTGTGACAATAAAAGAATCTTAAATATTTGTAGACTTTCTAAAAAGAATATTTAAGAACTGTTTTCACTGATAGTTGCACTTTGCTATTTGTCTTAAGATCCTTTGTAAATTTTTTCTTTGGAAATCCTCATGAATCCAGCCCCAGCTCTCTAGATGAACCTACATGAGCCCTGTTTTTAACAGGATGAAGAAATGCAAGAAATCTGCACAGTTCAGTGAGGACTCACCTTTTTGGCCAGGTGGTCAGCGTATTCTTTCTCGTATCTCCTGAGCAGGCACTTCTTCAGCTCCTCAGCCTGAGGGAACGCGATCTCTTTCAGCTTCTGCATCGGGGGGGCGGACAAACACAGCACAATGCTGACCGAGGTGTCGTGCGTTAACGGGTCATAATGCCATAACAGTATTGATTAGAAAGATGACACTGCAGCACAAAAACTCAGATACCTTAAGAGTGTCCTTCTTCTCAGGGATGTTGGATAACTTGTATTCTGGATGTTTGGGGAGCTTCTCGATGAAAAGCCTGGGGGTAATGGATGAAATCAAATTATCATAAACACTGCTAGAAAGCTGAGATGGCATATCGATACTGATGGGTATCTGTTTTGGGCTGATATCAGCAGAAAATGCTGGATCAGATATCAGAAAGAATTAATGTGATTCAATCCTGTAACAAATCTATCCTGAAATATCACTCACTCGCTCACGCACGAGGTTTGTGTGGGTTTATGTACCAAAAGCTCTCTTCATTCCTTCATTATACAGGCTGGTTTGGTTACTGTTGTTCCTCCTTATAACTTCAGTATAACTTCAATATTAATTGCTGCAGCTAAACTGCTGTGGGCTGATTTAGTAGACGTATGTAAATAAATGTTTTTTTGTAACATCACAAAATCTGTAACAAGCTGTTGAAGCTTATTCTCCATAAATGGATCCTTTGGCCTAGAGAGTGAATGGTACTTTTGGTAACTTTAACATTGCTCACACACAATTTCAGAAGCCAGATAAAATGGCTTTCCATAACATAGGCCCTTTAAAGAAAAATATCTGATCTGTATTGGTGTTACACAATATTTAAGAGAAAAAGAAAATGTTGCACTGTGCCATTCCTACAAGAAGAAAATAAAATAACAAGACAGATTACATTAATTTTATACTACATTTTTAACCTTAAAGACATTTCTGTAGACACAACTCTAAAAGTTTGGAACTCTCACAAGACATATGTCAAGCACTCTCAAATAATATTAAATACTTTTTATAGTTTAGCATTTCTATACATCTTATATTTGCATTAACAGCTGACACTGGTTTATTAGCATTTTATATTTAAGCTTGATTTATTTATTTCTGAATTAAAATGTCTTGTATTGCTCATTATTACATGTAATAATTGTATTTTCTTCCTTATTTAGTTTTACTTGTTTTCTCTTGTTGCTGTTTGTTGTTCTTATTATGACTTTTTTTGTTTTTATTTGCTCTTTTTCTGTAAAGCATTTTAAGATGGATTTTAAACCCTCTGCATTAACATTTGATACTGGTTTATAAGCATTTTATTTAATTATTTTTTACTGAATTGAAAAGCCTTGCTTTGCTCCTTATTACGTTTAATAATTCTATATTTTTCCTTCTTTAATTTCACTTGTTTTCTGTTGTTGCTGTTTGTTGTTCTTATGGTGACTGTTTTTATTGGTTCTTTTTATGTAAAGCCCTTTAAGCTGGATAAACCCTTATACAGTCCATGTGGTGGCCCATAATTTCTTCACTCTTATAACTACAGATTATATATTCATATCAGTTTCATATTCGTTACTAATTAATAATCATCTAGTTATCATCATCATTAAAACTGACAAAAAGAAATGCACTTCAGGTTTTTCTTCATGACTTTAAGCCCGTGTTTCTTACGTGATGTATTTGTTGTAGAGGACGAAAGCATGCTCCAAGTTCCCCTCCTCGGCATAGATGTGTGCCATGCGGATCATCTCCATGCCCGAGCGGAAGTAGCGACGGGCAGGAACGGCTTCGTTAACGTCCACCGCGCTGCCCTTCTTGGTCAGAGCGCGCACTCGCTCCTCCGGGGTTAAACTCACGTCAGCGTGGTCCAACATGGTGACGAGCGGCAGCAACACTCAGCAATTCAACTGCAGCTGAAGAAACAGACACAGACAGACTTCAGCTTACTCAGCTAACTTACTGTAAAAGATAGCAGATCAGCCTGAGAACACAGGCCAGCCTGTAATGGCTTATAAACAGGGGAGGAAAATAAAGCATCACTGAACGATTTTATATAAAATTGATTTTAACTGAATGTAATAACGTACGATAAAATATGACCTTGTGACTGAATCTGAGCACTTTTCAGCCACACAACCAGGCAAATAAAGTAAGATTTCTTCTAACATCAAGGGTATTCGAGGGGAATTCCTTCAATTTTCCCAACATTTCTGAATAATTAAATGGTTATGATGTAAACAAAGTCATTCAAAGTGGTCGTGAAACGCTCTGTCGTAGAGAAACCTGCAGACCAGGAGTTGTTCACAGTGGTGGAGATGGGAACCAGACACCTAATTGTAAAAGCAACCTCATAGAAAGTAATTACATAAAATGGTTAGGAATGCACTGCCTGATGTCTGACTGAGACAGTCCTTCATGATAGCTGTGGGAAGGTTTTAAATCATTTTTAAAAGCTATTCACAGCAGAATGGCACACGCAGTGTGTGGTGAAAAAAAGAAAATTTTTTTCTCAGATTTACCACTATTTTACCATCACATATAAAAACTCAGAAATCACGCACGTGTGGTTTTGGAAAGTAAATAAAATGGCTGTATTTGTACGGCAGACATTGCGAGCCCCGGTTCCTAATCAGCATTATAAAGAAATCTGAGTCGGTACGTTTCTCTACATTCAACCATTTCACATCAAACCACTCCGAATGACCTTGTTTACATCTCAACAATAGAATCATGCAGAAATTTTGAAAAATAGGTGGAACTCCCCTTTAACAGGGAGTAACAGTAACAGCCTCTACTCTTCTGAGAAGACTTTACACTGGATACTGGAACATTGCTTTGACAATCTGACTGCATTCAGCCACAAGAGCATTAAAGAGGTCAGGTAATGATGTTGGATCATGAGTTCAGCTCATCCCAAAGGAAACAGATGGAGCACCATCACTCCAGAGAGCGTAGCTGCTCCACAGCTCAATGCTGGGGGGCTTGATACCCCTCTATCAGACGTTTGCCACTGGACATAGTGACCTTAGGAACATATGCAGCCACTCTAGAGCATGTACAACCTATGTGTGTATTGGGTGCGCATTGATGTAGCTGAATTCCCTAAGGGGTGTCTTTTGGACATATAACATATAACACAGATGGGCAAGAAGATGACAGGTAAGAGACAGACAGATAGATAGATGGATGGATATAGATAGATAAACATACAGACAGACATGCAGATACAGAGTAAGTGCATACAGATAGACAGACAGTGAAACGAGGGTCAAATGTTTGTATGGTCAGTTACTTCAGTTGCTAAAAAAGCTTTAAGAGTTACACATTTTGGGGAGAGACAGACAGAGAAATCTACAAACAACCTCTCTAACCAACATAAAAACAGCTAGCTCGCTAACCTAGCTAAGGTAAACAGACAGATTTAGAGATAAATCCATTTTAAAGAACGCTGTTAGAGATAAAGTACAGGGGAATGTGTGCCTTAGCAATTTTAGCTAGCTGGCTAAGACGACACTGAAGAAGTTGGCTTCCTCTTCGTCAGCTTCTTGTTAGAATTGCCCCGTTCCACCTTCAAAGGTGCAGCAGTTACATTTCGGCGCCTCAGCTTTAATCGCCAGAATGTAACTGCTGCACCATTTAAGGTGGAACGGGACAATTCTAACAAGAAGCTGACGAACAACAAGCTGTCTTCAGCTACGTTTAGCTAAGGCTATTCACTCTTATCCGAAATGGTCTGTCCCTGAACACAAAACACCAGTCTCGCTTATTCTAATGTATTATTATAAACGGCAAAGTGGTGAATCGACTGTGTCTAAAGTGAATATCAGTAAATAAAAGCAAAGCCAGCGGTAACAGTAACAGTAGCTGGAACTACAACACTGGGGTTACTGGTTTAATGCGGACTAGCCGTTAGCTAGCGTTATGCTAACGTTAGCTAGCTACAGAGCTAACGAGCTGAAGAGCTTTAACCGTATTTACCCCGGTCTCTTTCTTTATCCTGCTCGGTTCTGGTGCTCGGTGGGCGGACAAATCAACACAGGTCGATAAAATCTTCCATTGCGGGACAATTCAGATCAACAACGTCTGATCTAAACAACCCGCTAGGGCTCATCCTCCTGTAGTGAAGCTCACCATTCACTCCCTCACTTCCTAGTGATGGGGAGTCGATTCGGAAAGAATCGGTTCTTCAGCTCCAACAGGTGTGGGAGTCGGGGTCGAACTCTTGGCCAGTGATTCTAAGAGTCGAAGTGCTTGGAATCGACTCCGTGTTTTTTCGTCGAGGGACATGAACTGCAGTTTGAGTAGTGTGGGTTTGTTTATTCCCCAGCTTTACACAAAAAAATGCGTTTTTTCGTAATTTAGGTTGCGATAGTCAATGATGAGAAACTAAACAAGGAACCAAAACCAAAAACAAACGATAATTTTCACAGAGCGTCGTAAAAAAGAGGACGAAGCTAAGATTTGCTCCTATGCGCCAACTTCATATTCAAATTTCCGTTCCACCTTAAATGGCGCAGCAGGTACAGTCTGGCTCCGGCGCACCGTTAAAGCCAAGCCGGGGTAACTGCTGCTTCTCTCAAGGTGGACCGGAAAAAGTCAAATAAGAATCTAGTGAATACGAAGCCGACTTAAACCTCGTGAAAACAGGAACAGGACAATACGGAGCCCCGGAGGGGACGGAGGTAAAAAAAAAATTAATTCGAGTGAACGTTTCGCAGTTCGTACGCACGTTTTCCCTTATTCGTGGTCACGATTTCTTAAATCGTTCCCTCGTTTTCTTTTAATCGTGCGCACGATTTCTTTATTTCGTGGGTACGTGTTTTTTAATTCGTGATCACGATTTTCTAATTCGTTCTCTCGTTTTCTTTTAACCGTGGTCATGTTTTATGACTGAATGCACGTTGTGTTTTGATAACAGCTCCCTGAGACCGTCTGACGGGTTTTGATGAGTTAGATGAACAGAGAAGCTCATCATGTCTGATTCTGATTTGGGGGGGTTATGAGGAAACTGCAGCTCCTCTTCACAGCAACCGGCCCAGGGTGTTTCTGCTCCCGCGACAAGCTGCGGTGTTAGAGACCATCACGCAATTACAGGACGAAATGATCAGCGTTTCAACATCCTCACATTAATATATCTACATCTAATCCACAGATCTATTAAACTCTCTCGCCATTTGACCTCATCCCACATGAATGTTTCTGTGTGTGTTTAATTTGAGTGTGTTGAAACGTTGACGCTGATCATTTCCTCCTGTAATTGTGTGATGGTCCCTAACACCGCAGCTTGTCGCGGGAGCAGAAACACTGAGGGCCGTTTTCTGTGAAGAGGAGCTGCAGTTTCCTCATAACGCCCCAGATCAGAATCAGACCTGACGAGCTTCTCTGTTCATCATCTAATCAATCTAACTCATCAAACCCGTCAGACGGTCTCAGGGAGCTGTTGGCTGTTTCTGCACAGGACAAATAACACGACCTGTATCTACTACATTGATTTTCCGCAGGAATCAAAAAAATAAACAACGTGCAAAAATGAAACATGACAACGATTAAAAGAAAACGAGGGAACGAATTAGAAAATCGTGATCACGAAAAAAACGTACCCACGAAGTAAAGCAAACGTGCGCACGTTTAAAAGAAAACGAGGGAACGGTTTAAGAAATCGTGACCACGAATAAAAGAAAATGTGCGTACGAACTGCAAAACGTTCGCTCGAATTATTATTTTTTTTTACCTCCTTCCCCTCCGGGGCTCCGTAGGATAAACATTATTGCTCTTCTAATAATTCAGCATACAGAACTGATTTTCTCATGACATCATTACGTGAAATAAGCTGAGATTTCGTCATATCGTCATTAAACGCTGTAGCTGTTAAAACTGGATAAAAGTTTAGGGCGGTTTAATCTCTGCTGGTCCCTTTATCACCGGCTCTGAAGCTGTCTGGGTTAAAGTGGAGTCGAAGAGTCGACTCGATCGATTCAGGCAGCAGGAGTCGAGAGACGGAGTCACTCCAGTGAATCCGGATCGTGTATCACTATCATCACTTCCCTTTTCCTGCTGTGTGTCTGACTAAAGTACAGCGAGGGTGAACAGAGGCACTCAGATCAGAGCCGAGCGGAGCGTCTGATACATGTATTAAAATACGAATTTGAAATAAAAATTGTTCTTTTTCTCTGTTGTATTTGAGGAACAAGCCCACATCATTTGTAACAAAATCTTTTTATTTTTGTATTTTCATTTCATCTCATTTTTGGGGTATGTTATATTTCCTATCAAAATACAAGTTGATGTATTTATGCCCATCCTCCACTCAGAATGCAGTATTTCTGAATCTGCATGTCAAACTTTAGACTTATTATCTCTGAATTCTAACTTACTAAGTCAATATTCTAGCATACTATGTTGAAATAAGTTGATAATGAGTTACTAACATTCAGGAAAATCAGGAATTTGATTAAGTATTTTATTATTGTGACATAAATCATTATTTCAACATAATTCAATTCTTTGAGATAATAATTCTTTTGTTGACGTAAGTCATAATTCAAGGGAAAAGCCATATTTGTGAGAAAATAAGCCATTATTTTGAGGAATTAAGTCATTTTTCAGGCCTCCCAGAAAAGTCTGATACAGCTCACAGATGAAGTCTCGATAACGTGCTTTTCAGTACTTTTAATATTTTTTAAAAACTGTGATGTGTCTAAAAATCATGTGAAAAAAATTTACTGTAAGGAGCTCAATCAAGATTTCAATATAAGTCAAAATGTTTTTGAATTATTTTAGTATTTATTATCATCATTTTATAATATATTTTATTTTTAACAATCCTTTTTAATACCTTGGTTTTTTAAAGAATTTTGTATTTTCAAAATATTAAAAATAGCATATTTTATTTTATAATACAACTTTGTGATTCACAAATGTGTATCTTACTTTGATGCATTCATAGTAATTTGTTTCTAATTTTAATCAAAGTAATTTGATTCATTTTTGTCCGTCTCTGAGTATTTGCATCCCCAAGCCCACCTTTCAATGGCTGAATATGATTTTTTAGAGGAAGTTTTGAAACTCCAGATCAGATCTACTCCTGACTTAATACTAAACCTGATACTGTCCACAGCTCATCCCAGAACTCACTGCCACAGTGCTGTGGAGGCCTAACAGACAGAATGGTAACATTTGCCTTATTAGAAAACAATGAGCTGCTTTTTGTGAGTCTGAGTCTTTTCTGGTTTTCAAAGTTAAAGCTTTTTTTTACACCTATGACATTTGTTATGTCTGAGATCAACTTAGACACAACTTGGTTGCACTGTTGTTGTCTGGTGTCCACTGCTGTGTAGGTCACTACAGGATTCAGCACAGCTAACAGAGTGAATGTAGAAACTCACACATTTACAGAACATTCACAACCTTTTGCTGATGAATTTGATGGAACATTTTTATATCTGTCTTTTTGTGAGATCAGGGGTTAAAAAGGCACAGAACAAGTTGGACTTCTGAACTGGAACTAGTTTTGTGTTGTAGTTTATGTAGTTTATTGTTGCTTTTCTTTCTTTCTTTTTTCTTACTTGCAGTAGTGTTGGTCGAAATGAGTTGGTGTATGGAGCCAAACATATACTTTAAAGTAAAAGGTACAGTGCTGTGCAAAAGTCAGAGACCTGTCGAGTTAATTTTGTGCCAAAAGTTTCAAATAAAATGATAAAATCCACAGGCAAAATGTGAAGTAAAAAAATGCCCAAAATATGTTGCAAATACTAATAATGAGAGTCAAATCAGACCTTATTTTTCAAAAAGTTTTCTACTCATTTTTAATAATTCTGATATAAATGTATTATATCAGAATGATAAGTCATTTATAAGTCATTTTGCCAGTATTTGCTTTCATTTCTATTTACTGATTTTGCCAATATCTTTTTTGCTTCTGAAATTTTTCTTTTTCTTCTGACTTTTGGCACTTTTTCACAGCGGGAGGGTCTTAGAGGAGGGCATTCTAATTATGTGTATTTGCAACACATTTCTGACATTTTGATATTTTTCCGCAGCTCCACAGTTCAGTCTTAGAAGTTGGTTGCATTTTCTGCGTCTCACAATCCAATGATCTCAAATACATTCAGTGATGCTGAGGTCAACTTTTTTCTTTACTTTTCTCAGTGAGGCCTTCTTGACAGCTATACATCTTTCCAGACCCATAGTGTGGAGTTGTCTTCTCACAGTGGAAGGATGGATGGAAACACCAATCACCAAAACTTCAGAAGCAGGAGCAAACCTCTAAACTTGTACTTAATGGCCATTTTGACTTGAAATAAAATAAATGATGGGTGGTCTCTTTTAAATCATAATAAAAAACACATGGAAAATGAAACAGAGCCATGAATACTGAATAATCAGACATTAAAGAGCAGTAAGTCTACACAAATACCAAATACAGCGAGGGAGGCTGGGGTTTGGAGAACTTCAACAGATAAACATTCGTGGAATTAGCCTCAGCAATATAACAAGTAACAAGTAGGTCTCTGGAACAAAGCTGGTCAGCATGGTCTGAGTCAGAAGCAGGGAGGAAATATAAATTCCTCCAGTCTGCTGCTCTGTTATAGCCTCAAGGGGAACTTTTGTGTTCATGTTCTCAGCACATTCACGTGTGAAGTCTCTAAAAAAAAAGCAAACACATGTAACACCTTATGTTAATAATGTGATCACATGACTTTATGTCCTAAAATGGCACTCATGTTTCACACAAGATAACATGCTTTTTAGTACTTCCAACGTTTTTTAAAAACCGTGATGTGTCTAAAAATCATGTGAAAAAATGTTACTGTAAGGAGCTCAATCAAGATTTCAATATAAATCAAGATTTTTAAAACTATTTTAATATTTATCATTATAATTTTGTGAAATATATTTAATTTTTAACAATCCTTTTTAATACCTAGGTTTTTAAAATATTTTTGTGTTGGAAAAAAGTACAGAAAAGTTCCAAACTGGAACTGGTTTTGTGTTGTTTTTTCTTTCTGTCTTTTTTTCTTTATTCTAGTAGTGTCATTCGAAATGAGTCGGTGTACGGAGCCGACAATGTACTTCAAAAGTAAGTCACAGACCTGTGGAGTTAATGTTGTGCCAAGTTTCAAATAAAATGATAAAATCCACAAGCAAAATGTTAAGTATAAAAATGTCCAAAATATGTCGAAATAATGAGAGTCAAATCAGACTTAATTTTTCAAAGATGTTTTAATATTCTGATATAAATTTATTTGTTATTTTGCCTGTTTTTGCTTTCATTTCTTTCTATTAGCTGATTTTGCTTTTTCAAAGCGGACGGGTCTTAGAGGAGAGCATTCAACTCTTTTTATTTGTAATACATTTCTAACATTTTGATTCTCAATATTTTGCTTGTGGATTTTATAATTTTATTTAAACTTGGCACAAAATTAACTTCATAGAGACCCACCCATCATTTATAAGTACGCTAATCATTTTTCAGCATCAGTATTTATGTTCTCCACTATTCACCTTTATTACAGCTTCAATTCTTTTCAGGAGAAAAACTTTCAGGTTTTAAAGAAATCTGCAGACACACCTCCAAAGTTCAGTCTTAGAAGTTGGTTGATCATTTTCTGAAGTAATCAAACTCATTCAGTGGTGTTGAGGTCTGGACTCTGGGGTGGTCAGTCCATCGTTCAGCTTCTTCGTTTGATGTGTCCGTCTCCTTTTCTCAGTGAGGTTCTTCTTGAACAGCTACACATCCTTTCAGACCCATAGCGCTGAGTCGTCGTCTCTCAGTGGAAGGATGGACAGAAACACCTGTGGATGTTTTCAGATCTGAAGCAGCTTGATTTTCTCCTCTCTCTCAAAGATGAAAGCTTTAAGTGCTGTTTATCATATCTTTTTACAGATAATATTAGTCAGGACAAAACTCTTAAATGCTCATAAAATTCTAGTAAACACTAATTACACACCTGTGCGAAGGAGCCTTGCGTACTACTGTATGTACATAGCATACAGAGCGCATTGCCCAGTAACACACAAGCTCAAGCTGATCAGTCCTAACCCAAAAATCTCTTGGCCTTTGAGATTTGGAGCAAGTATTTTTAAACGTCTGAATGAAAACAGAGCAAAAAAAAAAATCTGTTTTTCTCTTGGAACTGTAATCGAGTAAAAGTACAAATATTGAATTTCAATAATATTCGTGTACAATATCTTCCAAATGTTCCTAATACTTTAGTAACGAAGCATAGTGAGCTGCTGATGATGTATCAAAAGGTGGGAGGGACTTTACTGACTAGGGGTCTGTTTGAATTGTGTTTTCCAGTAGTAATATTACCTATCTGGCTTTTGTCTGCATTCACCAGATATCCTGTCTACATGAAGGGGACTTTCTGCAGGGGCTGATTGCCTGGCAATAGGTGAGGTGAGTAATAACAAGAAGGTTGTGGGTTCAAATCCCAAGATTCCCTGGGTATTTCTGCTCGTGTGATGGGGAAGGCACTTAACCCCCTGCTGTCCCAGGTGGTGATGCTGTTCTGCCTCCAGACTGGGTGCAGTTAGGCATCACATTTTGACAAATTCCCCTTGTGGTATCAATAAAGTACATATCATAACGTTTATTAGTCTGGCAAATGTTGACTAGCACGTGTTAACTAAGTGTTAACTTATGTGTTAACTAAATTTCACCTAGAAAATCAACAAACACGCAATCTGACAAACTTCAGCACATGCTTGTATCTCAGGTTGTGTGCTCAGGTTGGTAAACTTGTCAATGTTCATGAGCAATTAAAGGAAAGATAAATGCGTAATATGCAGCTGTGGTGGATCTACAGGGTGATTCAAAAAGATTAATCTGATTTCAAAATCATTTATTTCATGCAGTAAACTGTAAATGGTTTAGTTGAGCATAAAGTTTGTTATGTAATTTTACAAGTGCTCAGTATGAACCTCCTCCAGCTGTACAGATATCAACATCATAGTCAGATTCACTCCCATACTCGGGCGTCACTGTACTCACAGCTCTTTCAGTGCAATTTCGGAGATCATCCAGTGTTGTGGAAACAACGACGAACGCTCTGAGCTGTTGGAGGTTCACTGCCCATGAAAATCACGCTGCACAGTTTGACGAATTCACTCTTATTGAAGTGGAGAACGCAAACCGCTTTCTGCTCAGGGGTCTCCATCTCCTCGCAGACTGAAGGGACAGTTAGAAACTCTATGAGCCCCTCTTTCAATTGGTATGTGATTGGTTCCTAGACACCCCATGGTTGTAAAAAAAATACTGCGCTTTGAGATCAGATTAATCTTTTTGAACCACCCTGTATTAAAGCTATGAGTAAATAAGACAGAACTCAAAATTCCATTTTAATCACATTTTATACAAAAGCAGTATCTGCATTGGCAAAAGTGACACTAGTGGTAAAGGTCAGTCCACACAGAGTTTTTTAAATTAAAGAAAGATTTTCTTTCTCTAGCATTCGAATAATGGTTGCACAAAGCCACTGCTCATGTCTTCACCATCATTCCACAAACTCAACAGACAATGGAAAGTGCTAGAAAAGTGGCAATACAGTATATCAAAGATCCCTGGTAGAGAATAGTGATAGGTCATCAATAAGCAGGCACAGGGAGAGAAGAGGTTTTCACATGGCACTAGCGATTCTGTTGGGCTCACCTAACTGTGTTTGCTCTAAAACCTGTAGAAACATCTGCCAGTATATTCAGTTTTGGCACAGGCTAGTCGATCTCCAGCATGAGGCTTACTATCTTGTAATACTGAGCTCAACTGTGTCCTTCATGCAAACATCAGACATCTTGGAGTTTCAGAAATAGACATCAAGGAAAAAAGAAGAAACTGTAGACCACAGAACACTGTCCATACCTCTGTACGTCCTACGTTTTTTTTTTTTTTAAGGAAATTACCCATCTACAGTCGTATGCAAATGTTGGCGTCAAATTACAGGCTTTGTGAAGTGAAAATAAGTGAACACCTCCTCTATCAGGAGCATATTTTGGCAAATTTTAGTGCACAGTTTCTATTTATTTGGAAAAAAATATCAAAAAACTTTTGCACAGGCCAGATTTTAAGTTTTATTTTCTTTCCAATATGTAAAAGCCCAGGAAATAAACTAATTGTGCATTAAAACGTACAGAGATGTTCTCTGTAGAGGACGTGTTCACTTATTTTCACTTAGAAAATCAACATGTAATTCAACCAGGTGTGCCCAAACTTCTGCATATGCCTGTATGCTTCAAAGCAAATTTTGCAAATATCCTATTTAACTTAATGAGAAATTATGGACAAGTTTATTTTTCGGACGTGTAATCGAGCTAAATAACGTTGGCATGGTGGCATATTGTATCTCCTTCCTCTTTACAACCTACTTAGCTTTGTCTAGCTACAACAATGTAGTCCAAATCAGTAGCTTAGCATGTTCAACTGGAACCTGAACAACATGTAGCAACTCTATACAAAATTGTACACTATACAATCACTCATTAGGTTGAATGGGATTTCTGTGAAGCTTGTCCAACCTGGCAACAGTTGCTCTGAAAGAGTGCATTTCCAGACGGCGCACTGATTGGTCCATTCTCGAAATGGCCACAAAATCCTGCTCCTGAAACAGTGGCTCACCCACACATTTCTTCTTTATATGGCTAGTGTTTAAAGTGAGCTTCACGCTGCTTACACTCAGCAGGCCTCCGCACTGTGACTAAATACTGATGGCTTCAACAACAGAACCAGATACCATCGTACACACCATACAGAGGCTTCTTTATCATCAAAACAATAAATTTAAAAAAACCACTGGCTACCCAAAGTGGTAGAAAACCTCATATCTCTGAAACGGTAACTTTATAACAGAATGAAAACCCACCTGTTAATATAACTTAAGAAAACTTAATAAACTAAATTTCTATTGACTCAATATTTTCACACGGCCTAAATGAAGATAAAAACTTGCGAGGTTGTCGTGCGACAGCGACAACAACTACAATATCCACATTTTTGCTGGCAGAACAGCAAGTAGAGTCGAGGCTTTGAGGCCTCCATCTCTGCATGTTCGGCAGCATCCTGAGACAGAGGCGATGGCTGAAGGCTGAGCTCCTCAGAGCTGCACAGCAGTACAACCAGAGTGCAAACACACAGATTACTTAGAGTGCAATAGGCTCAGGGCAGGTTCACTACCACCTTCTAAACCAGAGGGGTTCCAATCCATTCTCCAGCGACCAAGAGCTGGTCCAGGTTTTGCTCTGCTCCAGCTTTTTAATGTGTGTCAACGAAGCAGGTGCTGTTCTATTAAAAATAAAGGTGCCAAAATGGGTTCTTTGGATAAATGCCATGGAAGAACATTTCAGTGGCTGGTTCTTTAAAACAAACTCAACTGCAGAAACTGAACTGAAAGTGTTTTGAGGGTGGGGCTGTGGAGGAGTGGTTCTTCAATGGCATCACTACACAGAATTATTTTGGCAAAATACTTGATATATAATGCACATTACAGCAATATAATACCCACAAAATGGGGTTTTTAATTCGACTTTGTGCACTTTATTTGCGGAATTGAGGACCTGACAGTTGACACTTTAATGTAAGTCATTGCCTGGAAGCTTAATTGTTCTGAAAGACAAACAAGACAACAAAACAGTGGGTTTTTTCCTGGAGATTTTGTTTCTAAAGGGTGTATATTTTCAACACTGTATAATTCTAAAACCATTTTGTGCACCTTTTAGCACTGAGTAGTAATCTATGAAGAGTTATATATCATCTGATACCATGATATAATTGGAAAATATCACCTCTCTTTGGACAGTTCTCACTTTTGGCTGCTAACTGTGCAATATTTGTAAAATGTTAGTCTTGTGTATTTATAGCTAGAGAAGAACACCAATGTGGACTGGCTAAACTGGATTGGGAACGTCACACTTAAAAGAGTTAAAACAAGGCCTTTACCACATCTTCACAAAGCACAGTGCGTTCCTGGTTTAAACTGGAAATACATTTGCATGTTTTGTGAAAACCGTTTTTTTTAAATGTTATCACAGGTGAACTGTTTACACAAAACGTATTAAACTACAGCATTCAGAAGTGCTTTGCTTATGCTTTGTGAATAAGCTGAAAGGATCTTATTAAGCCCTGAAATTATAAGACCTCCAAGCTACTTTTTTACGCCAAAACAAGTCCGAACACCCTGCTGTCCATCATCATCTAACAGGCCTCTGTAAGGCATAACTAATCCTGCATGGACATGCAGCAAAGCAGCCAAAACTGAACAAAGTTTAAACGTTACATCTATTTTCTCAAGACAGCTCACTTCAAATTAACCAAGGAAAAAAAAGAAACAAATAAAACAGCAAAATTGAAAAAGAAGTACCATATTTTCCCCAAGATGTCCATCCAATACATTAGTGTTGACATTTCAAACTTAAGATCACAAACCATTACACCAATGAAAGGCCCTAAACCTGACAGTATTAGATCAAAGATAACACGATTTCAGAAAACGTCACAGTTTTTATCAAATCAACACCTTGCTTGGTTTCATGATACGCAGTTCAAGGCCACAGCTGACTCCCGCAGACCGTTTTTCATCGTTGGTCTTCATCACTGTAACAGAAAGGCACGAGACAGGTTTAAGTACAATGGTGACATTCACTTCCGAAAAACAATTTGAGAAATTAAAACGGAGTTCAGTAATCCGCTGAAAGGCTCAGGCCTAAAACCCTGCAAGCGGCATGTGGCCAAAGGCTACGTCACTACAGCACAGTACCCTCTCATATGATTCTCACATGCTCTAAATCAGCTTCTACCAGCAGTTTCCTTATGAGAATTGAAAAAAAGGGAAAAACCGTTCTTTCAGTGGTGTACAGACTGAGAATACATGCTCAAAAAGATATGACAAACCAGTGAGGAGGTACCTGCGTAAACACTATTTGTCATAAGTGTGATCCATTCCTCAGTTTGTCATACTGTAAAAGTGGTTTGAAGGTCCACGTTTGTACTTACATGCTGCTCAAGTTTCTGATAGTCTGCTAATGTGGGTCTCCGCGTGGTCCTTGACCTCCTGCCCTCAAGCACATAAGCAATGATCTGAGAGAGATAGAGAGATAGAGAGAGAGAGAGAGAGAGAGAGAATGAAAAACCCAACGTGTATACCAAAAAATTTTGATATTTGAGATTTGAGATATCAACAACAAAAAGGGGAAAAGAGACTCTGGTCAAAATTAGCACGGAGCTTGCTTTTTAGATGTTAGCACTGGAGATTACAATTTAAAAACAAGTTTTATTCAATGATAGGCTGGAAAAATCGGTAGGTTTTTGTGTCGGAGGGTTAACAGAAGCCTTTTCAGATGAGCTAATGCTAACTGCTATACTGTCGGATGCTGATGAGGACTTGTTGTCTTCTACAAAAGGTGCAGGATGATTCAAAAAGATTAATCCGATTTCAAAGCACCATATGTTTCCAACCCGCCTAGGAACCAATCACACACCAACTGAAAGAGGGGGTTATAGAGTTTCTGACTGTCACCGGAAGATGGCTCCCTTCAGTCTGAGAGGAGAACGAGACCCCTGAGCAGAAAGCGTTTTGCGTTCTCCACTTCAATAAGAGGGAATCTGTCATAACTATGCAGTGTGATTCCACAACACTGGATGATCTCTGAAATCTCACTGAAAGAACCATGAGTGTAGTGACAGCCGACATGCTCAATCAAGTACGGGATGAATTTGACTATGGTGTTGATGTTGTCCGTACAGGAGGAGGTTCATATTGAGCACTTGTACAATTACATAATAAACTTTATGCTCACTTAAACAATTTACAGTTTACTGCTTTGTTCTGTAATGATTTACAAGTGAAATAATCATTTTGAAATCAGATGAATGTTTTAAATCACCCTGTATTTTCACCTCAGTGGACAATATATCAACATGTTACTTAGTCATAGAAATGTTTTCACCGTTTGTGGACCTAGATACATCAGCTAGAGATTTTGCTAATTTTAGCCAAAAAAATAGTTTGCTAATTTTCACTGTCTTTCTCAAATACTGGCACATCGAACAATTAAAGTACTCGAGTACCTGTGCACATCCCTAACAAACAGCCACAAAAATGGTCTAAAGCAGGATAGTCTTAGTGCAGCACAGTTTGATGGAGGGTCACACAATATATTGCATCATTATCATGATACTGGCCTTCACAAGGGAGTCAGAGGTCTGCTACCTGACCCGATCCTGACGGGGCCCCACCAAAGCACTGAGCGTCAGGCCTGATTTGGGTTGAGACATTGGTCTCTGGTTTGTGTTGAGTGATTTTTCATGCAGTAGATTTGTTTTTATTTGCAGTAATAAGCCTATATGATTCTCACACACTCAGATGCATTTTCTCTCTTGAGCGCACTCTCACTCTCTACTATAGTCCAGTATGGGGTGTCCAATCTTAAGCCAGCGTGGCTGTAGCTTTTCATTCCAAACAAGCAGGAGCACACCTGATTTCACTTTTTTAATCAGTTGGTCTAAACCTTCAAACAAATGATCGTACTTGCTCCCCTGCTTTTCTAAAATGAAAACCTGCAGCCCATTGCAAGTAAGACTGAACACCCTGGTCTAGTATGCGCACAAAAAAGCCAGCCGAAAAAAAAAGGCTCTCTAAAGGGAACCAAACAAGTCAGGGACGTCTTCACTGGGGAAACATTATGACCCGGTTATTACTTCAGATAAAGAGTACACTGGTCATGCACAGCGCAGAGCTTGTGATAGTATCTCGAGCTACGATAACAGGAACATGCTGACCGGGGGTGGTAACAAAGCAAAGCTCGGGTCATTTTATAAAGTCGCAAGAACGAGTTAGGTTCAGCTTCAGTTTCAGGCCTGTGTAGGCTGTGTATTGCTACATATACATATACATATATTTATATTTATATATTTTTTTAATATATATATGTTTTTCGATAATGAGAATGATGTTCACTATATGATGCCCATAAAACAGTGGCATTCCTGTTTCCAAGCAGTTTATTTTTATTTATTTATTTTTATTTATTTATTTTTGTGTGCTTTACTCATTTTATCCAGAAGGCTTAAGACTGTTGTGAAAGAACAATTTCAACATTCACTGAAAATGTTTTCTTCCTAGAAATGTGGTTTCTATCTGAATGACATTTACAATGCTGTGTGAAGTTCCTAAACTGAACAAAACAGGCCATTCAAAATAAGCAATGTCAGGTTTGTAGGTCATTCTTTTAGCAGCACAGTGTAGCTATTAACTGTACTAAAGCTACCTTATGACTAACTTAAATATCATCTAATTGCAATACATTTGTAAATATCACAATATTGATTTTTATCAATACTGCCCAGCCTGTGGTCTACAATATGCAAATGAGCCTCTAACCAGTCATTGAATGTTGTATTGTAATAATGCAAGCTGATTCATTTTCAGCATAATGCAGGGCATTTCATAATCATGATATGGATAATACACCGATCAGGCATAACATTATGACCGCCTCCTTGTCTCTATGCTCATTGTCCATTTCATCAGCTCCACTTACTATATAGGTGCACTTTGTAGTTCTACAGGTACAGACTGTAGTCCATCTGTTTCTCTGCATACTTTGTTAGCCCCCTTTTACCCTGTTCTTCAGTGGTCAGGACCCCCATGGACCCTCACAGAGCAGGTACTATTTGGGTGGTGGATCATTCTCAGCACTGCAGTAACACTAACGTGGTGGTGATTGTGTGTTAGTGTGTGTTGCGCTGGTCTGAGTGGATCAGACACAGCAGTGCTACTGGAGTGTTTCCACTCACTGTCCACTCTATTAGACACTCCTACCTTGTCTGTCCACCTTGTAGATGTAAAGTCAGAGATGACAGCTCATCTGTTGCGTCACAGTCTGTGTTGATCATCCTCTAGTCCTTCATCAGTGGTCACTGGACGCTGTTGGCTGGATATTTTTGGTTGGTGGACTATACTCAGTCCAGCAGTGACACTGAGGTGTTTAAAACTCCAGCAGCACTGCTGTGTCTGATCCACTCAGACCAGCGCAACACACACTAACACACAATCACCACCACGTTAGTGTTACTGCAGTGCTGAGAATGATCCATCACCCAAATAGTACCTGCTCTGTGAGGGTCCGTGGGGGTCCTGACCACTGAAGAACAGGGTAAAAGGGGGCTAGGAAAGTATGCAGAGAAACAGATGGACTACAGTCTGTAACTGTAGAACTACAAAGTGCACCTATATAGTAAGTGGAGCTGATAAAATGGACAATCAGGGTAGAAACAAGGAGGTGGTCATAATGTTATGCCTGATTGGTGTAGTTCGTCCATATCATGCAGCCCTACTTTGGTCACTTTTCTTCTCAAAACACCTCAGATTAATTTCAGCAGTTAATCAGCAGGTTTAGCAGGTGTCAGCTTGAGCTGAGTAAACACCAAACTGTGCTGTACTCTGACCCTGTAGGTGACCCTTGGCCTAAAGGCAAAGATCTCTCACACGATCTGATGCATTAAAAGGGCCCCACCTTGCGCTTGTTATGGTATCCAATGTAGAGGACGGCCACCAGTACAGCGGTACAGACGAGATAGGCAAAGAAGTGGCTGCTCTCCTCCTGCTCCAGTCGAGGGTCAAACAGCACATTCCGGTCTGCATTCCTGTTGAACAGAATCTCCATCTTTGGATGTTCCATTTCTTCATCCTCATCATCTTCTTTGACATTAACATCTAAATCCTCGTCTTGTGTATAATCCTCAGTGTCAACATCCTGATCTGTCTCTGGAACCTTCTCCTCATCTTTGTCCACATCCGTCTCTTCTTTCGCTTTATCTTTGTCCACATCCGTCTCTTCTTTCGCTTTATCTTTGTCCACATCCGTCTCTTCTTTCGCTTTATCTTTGTCCACATCCGTCTGTTCTTTCGCTTTATCTTTGTCCACATCCGTCTGTTCTTTCGCTTTATCTTTGTCCACATCCGTCTCTTCTTTCGCTTTATCTTTGTCCACATCCGTCTGTTCTTTCGCTTTATCTTTGTCCACATCCGCCTCTTCTTTCGCTTTATCTTTGTCCACATCCGTCTGTTCTTTCGCTTTATCTTTGTCCACATCCGTCTGTTCTTTCGCTTTATCTTTGTCCACATCCGTCTCTTCTTTCGTTTTATCTTTGTCCACATCCTTCTCTTCTTTCGCTTTATCTTTGTCCACATCCATCTGTTCTTTCGCTTTATCTTTGTCCACATCCGTCTCTTCTTTTCGCTTTATCTTTGTCCACATCTGTCTCTTCTTTCGCTTTATCTTTGTCCACATCCGCGTCTTCTTTCGCTTTATCTTTGTCCACATCCGTCTCTTCTTTCGCTTTATCTTTGTCCAAATCTGTCTCTTCTTTCGCTTTATCTTTGTCCACATCTGTCTCTTCTTTCGCTTTATCTTTGTCCACATCCGCGTCTTCTTTCGCTTTATTTTTGTCCACATCTGTCCCTTCTTTTACTTTATCTTTGTCCTGTTTTGTGTCTCCCTTCTCTTGATCTTTGTCCTGAGTCTTGTTTTCTTCCTCTTTTCTTATCTTTTGATCTGTCTTTTCCGGGTCTTGTAAATTCCCCTTCAGCTCTTTGGCTTTTGTCTGCTGATCTGCTTTATTAGGAATGTCTTCCTGACCAACTTTTGTCGGTTCTGCAGAACTTGCCCCATCTTCCTGGGTCTCTGTGACAACTGGAACTGCTGACTTGTCCACTTGGCTTTGCGTGCCTTCAGGAATGGCTTCTGTTTTTGCCCCAGAACTGTCAACTTCAGCAGCTTTCCCAGGTGCACCTGCAAAATACCAAAGATGCATTCAAATATAGCCACAAAACGTTCTTTATTGCCTATTTGCGCTGTACACATCAGGTATTCAGCACTTTCATTCAGGTCAACACTAAACTAAGAACGTACCGAAATCACTTTTGCCCTTCGGATACAATTATGGCATCCAGAAGTAACCTCAAGCCAAATCCGAATACCAATACTAACACTTTCTCATGTAACCACTAAGTAGGTGCCTATAAATCCCAATAATAAGAGTTCCTAGTAAGTTTTTAGGAAAAAGCAGCATTCTGCACCACAAATATAACAAAATAAGCTTGAATTACTGGCACTGGAATATTGGGAAAGGTTCTCAGGGCTCTGCAAAAACCATGCCAAATGTTGTTTCATGTCAGAATTTCTCAAATCATTTGTGCATTTTATACACTTGTGCTTAAATCTACAAGTGTCAGGGGTTCGAACATGAATATTACAGTCATTCAAGCTACCAGTACAAGCAATACACATCTTTTATGTCTTGGAGTCTTTTCTTGCGCTGCTTGAGCTGTAGCTGAATGTTCTCTAAAGTCAGACATACACTAAGCAATTTTAGGAATCCTGTTCTTTGGTGACTCACACTGTATGTTTGAATAGACTATCTTGTACAAAGCCTACAGTTTATATACTCACACTGTATGAAAACGCTTCGTCTGATTGACAAGCTACATGAAACGCAGCCCCTACAGACAGCAAACACAGAGACAAACTGAGCAGCGCTGCTAACACTGAAGCTAAAAGCAGTGATCGACAGTCTCTCTACAGTAGAGCTGGACGATTTGGGGATAATATCTAATTGCGATTTTTCTCAGCAATACTGTGATTGCGATTTAAATGTAATTGTTTTCTTTAAATGAATTTCCAGGCCTGTTTTTTGGCCAAGAAGACCAGAATATCCTCTTTTTCTGGCATGAAGCTTGAACGCTGAGTGAGTCAGACTACAAGTTAGCTGTGGTTGTGATGTCACATATACAGAACATGGGTGTTTTGTTGCTTCTGATTGGTCCGACTCATCTACAGATTCCGTGTTGTTAGGTCAGCTTTTCTCCATTTAAAACAAGACAACACTGTTGATCATGTATTCTATAATAAAAATTGCAGCTCTTGTGATTTGAAAATTGCACTCTATCAAATTGCAATTTCGATATGAAAACGATTAATCTTTCAGCCCTACTCTTAAAAAAATCACTGTATTAACATTTATACGTCGCTGTTCTAGTCAGTCAAGTTAGCTTATGTGGGTTGTTCGCCTCCAATTAACTGGCCTATGTCTCTCCACCCACGTTGCGGAAGTGGTTGTGACTGTGTTTGTTTAAAAATGGGCTAAAATCACACAGTGCATTCCTACGAGGAGTCTACCAAGGTGTAATATTTAAAGTGTCCAGTGACTTTGTGTCTTTGTGGCAACGCCTTTCTGTGTAAACGGACCCTCCTTCACTGACAGCTTGAGTCATTTGACGTTAAGTGCAGCAGTGTACACTCGGCTTACGTCTCACAGCATCAGCTGGAATCAGAACGTTAATGTCTGTGAATTTTTATAGGTATGAATGTGAGTAAACGAACACGGTATCAGACCGATACCCGATACCAGTATCGGTACTAATCCATCCGCACTGATTACATTAAGAAAACTACCAACTAAAACAGTGAGGAACTAAGCGAACTGAGCATAATAACAGCACATTGTGCCTTACCAAGATGTGTTCTGAAGAAATTCTGTACACATAACCGAATACATTTAGGACAACGTACTAAGTATTCAGCCATCATGAAAGTATTCAAAGCATTCTACCCAACTTTGATTATAACAACATTTACTGTAAACCCTTACAATGCTTCTAAATCGTGGAATTCGTGCCCAATTGAAAAACAATTGCTACAGCACACGACATGACTTTTCCATAGTGTAAAAAAAATTCCAAAATGAAAACCAAACCCTATTAGATTGTTTTAACATCACTTGATCTCTTTACCAAATAACAATGCATGAGGATTTCTTATTTTTAAAACGAATCGCTGTACTCATGTCAGAAACAAATCCAATACATCTTAAAATGTAATAAAGACACGACTGTACTGCTTTCCACTGTGCAGCACTTAAAATACTGCTATCTTCGGTGTGCACTGCATTTCAATGAGGTAAAAACACCTGAAGTACAAAGAAAAAAAAGAGATCAAGCGATGTGAAAACAGTGTAGCGGAGGTTTCGCTTTTCATTTTGACACATATTCTGCATGTCACCTGTGGAAAAGTAATGTGTCTGCATTACGTTTCACTGCTTTCACTGTCATGATTACATTTCGATGAGGAACATCCGCTCATGGAAAGTTAAACAGGCGGGCGTTCAAAACACATTTTAAACCATGTTGTATTTAATTCTGACATTAATTCAACGTTTCGTTGTTAAAATGCCAACCCTCAAGCACGGTTTTTCATTCTGGCACACATTCTGCATGTCTCCATGGATCAGTAACGTCAGTTTTAAAGTTTTTCCACTGTAGTAACTGCATTTTAATCTGACACGAATTCCTCTCCGTACTAAATCACAGGAGATTCATGAATACATGCTCAGAGATGTGTTAGAGATGTAGCCAATACAGAAAGACTGGAAAAGAAAGTAAAAGTGAACGTGGGAAGGGTAGTCAGCGGCACATGAGACCACTGTACACACGTATTATTCACATTTTAAGAAAGACTAAAGAAAAACAGCTGAAATTAAGGAAGGGAGGCCTCCGCAGCGGCAGAGCTGCTGTGTTTATTTGATTGATTAACGGTTACTGGCGTTAGCAAAGTTAGCCTATTAGCCGAGTTAGCTACGCCGCCTCTGCTCTGGTTTTCTGTTAGCAAGCTGACAAGATGTTTACACTCACCGTGAGATCCGCACAAACAGGCCACGAGCAGAAACAGCGCCGTTAACTTCATCGTGACTCTGTACGACGGACTAATCCGGACTCTGACGCAGGAAAACAAGAGCAACACAGGAACACGACGAGGATCCGCTTCATCCGGGACGCAACGTCACTCACGACTTCGTGGCCCGTAGTAACATTAGGGGCGGGGCTTCGCCGCGATTCGCTTTCTGGTTAGACGTTGAGCGGCGCGACTTTTATTTTGAAAAAAAAGAAACGCAGCTAAGCACAATTTTTTTAAATGTATTTTTTATTTGTATTATTATGTTAAACAATACACAGGACCTTCAAGAATATATGCTTATACATTAACACACAAAATCAACAAACACATGAAGAACAAGAAAACAAACTTTACATTTTACATTTTTTTTATTTCAAGTTTTATTTAATAACACTTTTAATTGATTCTAAATAAATGAAATACAGATATATATTTATAGGTATCTGAGATATATTTCAAATGCATTCATTCCAAAATGTATTCCAAACATTAAAGTACATTAAAAATCAAAAGTTTAAATTCAAATCAAAAATACAATTTTCATACATTATGAAATGTTTTTTAAAAATACACAAAAACACACACGTATGTATATATATATATATGAGCGGCATGCTTCAGACTATTTCAGTGGGTGGGGCACTCATCAATATTTAATTATTGAATTAATTAGTGAATAACAGAATTTAAATATACTAAAATGAACGCAGGTCTGTGAAACGATATGCAAAATCCATTTCTTCATTTCTTCAGCACTGGCGTTCCACATTTAACTCAACAGTTTGCTTTATTTGAGACTAAGATACGTATATTCTGCAAAAACCTAGGTAGTCTGCGTGAACTGTACTGTTCAGCCAGGAGGGGGCGATAGAGTCCCGTTTAAATAATAAAGGAGAACTACTCAAAAGTTTAGAATTGAGTCATTATTAACTTGTTCAAACATAAACAGTCATTCAGAAAGGTCTGATGTGAAACCGCGTTATAGAGAAACACAGATTTTCTTTACAGTGTGGTCACAGGAACCAGATGTCGCAATGCCTACAATGTAAATTTAGCAATTTTATTTGCTGTCCAATGCAAACAGTTAACCTACATGTGTCTTCCATGTCTATATAATATTTATATTTATTTAGTTAACTCTAACCCCTGTAAACAATCCTGACTTCTCTATAACGGAGCATTAACTACCACACTGAATGACATCTCAATCATTGACTTACGGAGAAAATTAGAAAAAATAGTGGAATTCCCCTTTAACGTTCCGCTACTGTGAGGAAACTGTGCTGGTGCTGAAGGCAACCTTTAAACTTCTTCAGTTCTACTGTTGTTGTTAGTGTTTAAACTGCTTTTTATTTAGAAACAGTAAACAATTGCTGATGACTACAAGACCTGCAACTATAACTAAAAAAACAGATCTTGCAAAAGAAAAAAAACAAAGTCTAAATTACACACGAAGCTCATCAAGCCCTTCTTTGGGCTGTCATCGGTTCTGGAGCTGAATGCCGGCCTCACAGCACAGAAATAGAAACCCTCTATTATGTCTTTAGTTCAGTCTAAGAATATATACACACATACACAGAAGTTTGTATTCGTGTCTTTGTGGGGCATTGAACGACCCTAACCTCAGAAACCAAAAGCTAATATTTGAGCTCTTCTACTTCTTCTAGGCTGGATTTACACGGCGAAACTTACATTTTACAGTTTTAGCGTCTTGAAACTCGAATGAATGTAGATGTTAAGCTGTGTAATGTAAAGCGTCCTGCAACTCACTTGAATCTCATTGGAGCGTGAACCATGGGGGCAGTGTCAAGGGGGGGAGTGGGCGGTTACTACCTTCCCAATAATCACAGCTCAGCCATGTAACAGTCCGAGAATTGATTAATAATTATTTTTCTTCAGAAAATATTGTATACAGATGTAATAAAATACAAACAGTAACAGTGGTTAAAATGTTTAGTTCGTCCTCCCCCGTTTCTAAAAAACATGGTTGCGCCCAGAGCGGAAACAGGAGCCTAAGGCCGAATCCCGTTTCACCCCTTGCCCCTACCACTTAGCCCTTAGCCCTCTGTTTTGCGCGTTCACGTCTAGGGTAAGGGTGTCCCAATTTTAGTTGACATAGAGGGGTAGGGCGAAGTGTTAGGGCTACATGGCCCTCCAAACAGAGGTTTTTCAGAGACTCACTCCAAACAGAGTGTTAGGAAAAAAAAGAATTGGAAGATGGCTGCGCGAGCGACCGAAGAAACCCACAAATGTGAAAATTTTCTCCGTTAAAAATTACAATAACCATTGTATTATCTTAGCTTAATGTCGTTTCAATGTATTATGGTCGTTTTCTTCATAACAAGCACAAAAAAATCGCTAATAGCATGCTAATTTCTCAGTAGCTAGCTAACTTTCCCGTTCCACCTGGAGCGCCAGAATGTAACTGCTGCACCATTTAAGGTGGAACGGGAAAATTCGAACAAGAAGCTGGCGAAAAGATGACTTCAGCTTCGTATCACCAAAGAATTGGAGTGGGCGATGATAAATGATTGTCTTATCCCCCTCTTTGAGAGCATTTGATGTTACCTAAATGTAACTAAAGCCCAGAGGCGAGGAGCTGAACTTCTCCCTTCTCTGCTATCACTGAAGACGGGCCGGGTCGCCTGCAGAGCAGCGCTAGTAGGTTGTTAATGAAGCGATGGTTTGTTTTTGTTTTTTAATTTGAGGGTTGTCCCATTTCGTAGGGCAAGTTTTTAACCACTACCCCTTGTAACTCAGGGGTTAGGGTGACACTCGAAAACAAGGGGTAGGGGTAAAAAGTAGAAATGGGATTGGGCCTAAACGTTCTCTGGCTTCACTGAAACACGTTATTTTAAACTGAAGTGTTTCTGTTTTTCTTGCTGTGTATCTTTGGATTACCTCAGATTTTTGATGTTACTATTTAAAAATGCGTTTATTTCAAAGTGTTTGGTGTTTAGTAGCTTACACCACAGTAGACTTTTGACCTTGAATAAACATCACTGAGGTACCGTCTGACGTTTGATTAACGTTAGTTTCCGTTACATTAGCATTAGCGTTAGCAGTATCTATGGCTGTGGTAGCTATCCTTGATAGTTTAAATCAAAATAGCTTCAAATCTGGGTGACATGACCAGCTATAAAATAATTTTTCTCAACTTTACTGTTCACAGAGAAATCAGACAAGGAGCGAATGGTATTATTTTGATGGCACAGATAGCAAACATATCGCTGCTGTTGGAACAAAACCTCGTATCTCCATTTTTGTCATTTTTTAGTTTTTGACATAGTTTGAAAATGCCTGTTGATCTTTACATTGTGGGTAAATTTCATGATGAAGGGACCAAAAGAAACGGTCCAAAATGACTTTGAAAAAATTCCGGTTCCATTGACTTACATGTAAAGTAGAGTATGTTTTTTGCTTCTCCTGTAAAGTTATAATTTTGGAGATACAAGGTTTTGTTCTGACAGCAGCGATATATCAGTCCACCAGCTCAATGAGGTTGGCGTCCCGCTGACTGAATGCCACTGCTGGTCAGCCCTCGGACCACACAGATTATTGTCCTGTATGCCAAGTCTAAAACATTTTTAACCTCTTCAAACAGATATTAAACATAAATAGCCTTTTATTTTGGAAAATGAACTAAGACAAATATTACAAACAACTAAGAGGATGAAATGAAAATGTTGTTGCAATGTTGTTGCTGATACTGTGCTAGTTTCCGTTTTCAGGTGCTAATGATTAAAACATCATTATGTTTTTGGGGGAACTTGTCTTATTCCAACTTCAGATATCTGGTCTGGTTTTGCTCTTTGTTATTGGAGTTTGATAGTATCATCATGCCTAGATCAAAAGAGCTCTCTGAGGCCTTTCAGAAAGTAAGTTGTAGATGCCTATGAGTCTGGGAAGGGGTTTAAGAAGATATCCAAAATATTGAAAATCAATCATTTCACTGTCTGGAAGATCATCTACAAGGGGGGAAAATTTAAAACCACTACCAACCTCTCCAGGCCAGACTGCCCCAGCGAATTTAACCCAAGAACAGATCAAAAGATGCTAAAAGAAGTCTGAAAGAACCCCATAATTTCATCACAGGATCTGCAGGTAGCTCCTGCCACTGTTGATGTAAAACTGCTTGCATCTGCTGTTAGAAAAAGACCACAAATTTGTCTTACATGGGAGTTGTACCAGGAGGAAGCCTTTGCTGTCTAAGAAGAACACTGGGACAAAACTAAAGTTTGCTATCAAGTATCTCGGCAAAGACCAGGACTTCTGGAACAATGTGATATGGACAGACGAGTCAAGTCTGGACACAGTACCAGAAGCCGTGTTTGGTGAAAACCAAAGACACCTTTTGATCAGAATAACCTCATACCAACTGTAAAGCATGGTGGTGGAAATTACATGGTTTGGGGCTGCTTTGCTGACTCAGGGCCTGACTAACATACAATCACAGAATCAACTATGAATTCTCTTTCAGACCAGAGAGATCCAACAGGATAATGATCCCAAACATACAAATAAATCCCCCAAGGAATGGCTCAAAAGGACGAAAAAGAGGATTGTGGAATGCTGTGGGGGGGGTTTGAAACAGGCTGTACCCTCAAATATTGCACAGTTAAAAGAATTCTGCATGAAGAACTGGGCAAAAATTTCTCAAAGTAGATGTCAGAAACTGGTAGACAATTACAGGAAACACCCACATAAAGTTGTTTCTGTCAAAGGGGGCAGTACCAGTTACTGAAGCCAGGGGTGTACTTACTTTTTAACTTACAACAGACAAAAATTACATCTCAGTTAATTATTTTTTTTTGTTAATAAATAATTGCAAAGTCAAATTTCCATTGTTTTTTGCTCTAATACTTATCTACACATACAGTTTAACTGAAGATCAAATAGGCTACTAATGTGTAAACATATGTCAAAAAAGAGAATATTTTAAGGGGTGTGCTTTTTCACATGACTGTATACACAGATAAAAGAATAGCAATGATAGCTGGAAAAATTATACAACGATGATAAAATGCTGCAAATATGTAAATAATACATTACAATATTTAAAAATATACAAGCTGCTAATTTGGTGAACTAGTGGAGCATTCAAATGCAGTTTTGATTGT